CTACACTGCAACGCAACGATTGTTTGGTGCAGGTCAAGGAAGCCAAGTGGAGTAAACTATCTTAACGCCCTGTGGTATGCTGCACTTCATAAGCCAGTGTTGCTTCACAGCTTTAAACGCTATATGTGTGAATCAGTTAGACGACTACATTACTCATCAAGAAACCGAAGAAAATGAAAAGTTCGAACAGAACAAGCCTAGACAGCTTTAAAAAGCACTCTGGGCGGTCTCACGTACGTAGCCTGTGGACTTGCTACCTAGCTTTACACTTTGCTACTATATCCATCTCCGGCCAAACCGGCTCACATTGCTCATTCCAAGCCGGGCTTCAACGAGTGCAGCGACAGCAGGAGACACAGCAACGCGGACACTCTCAACGACTTCGGCAACTGTCCTCATCTGACGTTGTCGTTGGAGCCTTCTTTGCAGCCTCTTGTTACGCTCTTGAAGCTGTCGCGCTTTGGCTCTCAGGGCGTTTACCTTCTTCTTGTCCATGCTGCGGCTTTTGCCGGGTGCTGCAATTTCGCAAAGAAACCAGATCAGGTCTCCAAGAAAAACTTGCATTCGCCATCAATTTATTAAATGTGTAATCTATTCACACTCAAAAATACTCCTCAATGATTTGAAGTGTCTTTAAACAAGAACAGCAAATATGACAGACTACACATATGAAATTCAAGTTAAGGAAAGCAGCAGTACACCTTTATGTCGGACTAGGCGCTTCATGTTGGCCAGACACATGATAGTCGAAAAAGACAAGGGCCAACACAGAAAAATGCAAGTCAGAACAGGAATCCAAACTGTGAAATGCATTTTTTAAAGCTTAACCATACCTTACCTATGCCGATGGCACTGTAACAGTGAAGCGCTCGCACAAAAACAGGCAACTAATGTTTCGCAGATAGGACGGGACCATGACAGGCTCAGCATCACACACGTATGACCAGGGCAGCTTTTCGATAACTAAAAAAAAAAAACACTCTCTTGCGTGAGGTTTTGCGGGAATACTTATGATTCAGTAAAACAGGTTCAGCTGTTTTGATTTGATGGTGTTAACACCTGCGTGTGGAAAATGTTTTTGTATTTTTGTGTGCTTGACAATGACGATATACCGTGAAACACTAAAATATGGTAAACTTTGAACAAGCTTCAATTTGTAGCTGCCAGCTACCCGGTATTGTGTTATGTGACCCCTTGCGCCATGAGCTCTCAAGAAGTTTATTATCCGCAGGTGTTTTTCGAGCCTTGGCTTTTTATTTTTGCGGTCTGACCTCTTATTATTTCACCAAAAAGACTGCAAAAGAAAAAAAGTTCGCATCATAGAAAGCACTCACATTTGTGAGAAGGCCCAGCAGCACAGCCAGAGAGAGAGAGTCTCTAGGCGACGGTGAAGAAACCAAAATCTCCATGTCAGCCACGACCCCGCTGGTCTCTTGAACAGGAGCAGCACCCTGACGTAAAACGTAGCTGTAGTCAGCTGCAAGAAAAATAATAAAGAAAGGTTTTTACAAAAACTGTAAGTAAGAAAGCAAGTTCAACAAAGCAGAAAGTTGGGCGAGTTGGTTGTTCATCTTAGCTGGCAGAAACAGTGCCTCTCTGTGTACTTTTACAGCGCCTGTCTGTATAGTCCTTGTTTCTTGTCCTTCGTGAAGTTGCGCTGTTTCTACCACTTAAAAAAGCAAGCTCACAACAAAGTATAAATAAAAGGAAAGCACACACAATGTTCGGCCACCACTTACTATGGGCCCCTAGTGGACTGTTACCTAATAAGGTGCACGAGTATGTGTGGTCCATTGAAGCCGCAGAAATCTGCTCTGCAAATTTAATGCAAACTTAGCGAAGGAGAAGAGGTTGAAGTCCTCCCTTATTCTCGTATTTGGACGCATAAAAAGAAGATTCACCTTCGTTCCATGACAGGTTTATTTCAGATGACTGGTGGTCAGGGTGGCCACAGGAACTCCGCGAGTCTGAGCAGCCGGAGTACGTGCAGCTCGATGAGGCTGGCGAACTCTTCTCTGCAAATTTAGCGTGAAGTTAGTCATGGAATAGTAGTTGAGTTCCTTCCTATGCGTCTATTCTAACACAGGACAAGGAAAATGACCTTGTTCCTACGAAAGTTCCATTTCGGAAGATTGGTCGTCAGGGTGACCACAGAAGCTCCGTGAATCTGAACTGCCGAAGTATGTGTAGCGCGGTGAGTGTGGCGAACTCACCTCTGCAAATATATGGTGAATTCGCCTATTTTAACAATAAATGTAATCAATTTCTTTCGTGGGCAGCTTTATTTTGGAAGACTGGGTGTCGGTATGGCGAAAGATGCTCTGTGGACCGATACTGACGTTGATTATGTCACCTATAATAAAACATGCCATTATAAACGAGCCTGAAATGAATTTCTATCAGTACCTCTGACCATGTTCTACCAGCTTTTTCCAGCTAATCTCACCTAGTTCTATTGCAAAATGATCAGGTCATGAAGACCATGAGGTAATGCAGTGGTGCTGAAAGTTGCTACCACTTTATGTTAGTTGCAATGAAAAAGCTAACCATGCACAACTGCTGAACCTGGAGAGCTTTTGCTGGACATGTCGCCATGTGTTGTCTCTGCAAATAATATAAAAATGTTATGAGCCCACAGTAGCAATATTTGAGCCCCATGTGGTAACTATTTTTCTAAGAACGGGTTAACCATGCTTAGTCACGAAGTGCACAATAGGGTTATTGGTCTGCTTACCTTTTGTGGGAAGCACGCGTGGCAACGCATTGTGGCGGAGGTGTCCAGGCCGCAGGAAAGCTGACTCCTCAAAATGTAAGGAGTAAAATACCCTGTCTCGTAGCTGCCGTGGAGTCTTCCCCTGTAGACTTCGGTTGTTGCAGAACCGAACCCAGGCTTCGCGCCTGCAGATAAGGCATGGTGCTATGTGGGTGCCGTGAATACTTACGAAAAGAAAATGTAGCCAAAATGTCCACAAACCAAAGCAAATCAGAGCGGCGACATTAACAAATGCATGACATCATCGTTCTGTGTACATCATGAAGAGTAGGGGGGATCGGTGGAAGTCGTTGCCTCATGTAAATTTCTGTTATCTCGATTTTCAGTTGAGTATTTGAGTGAGGTTCCACGGAAAAGATTGTATAAGGCTGTGTGCGATACTGTGTTTCCTGTACCTCTATAGAGAGCCTTATACTGTGCAGGCCCAGGGCAAGATGTCTTGAAGCGCGTTAAGCGTATGGTGGTGCCCGCAGGCACCAAGACTTTCTTCTTTACATTACATTCAGGTACACTGCCGGTCAAGACATGGTTAAACGAGAGGGGACTTTTTGTACCGTGGGGGGATCACTGCTTTTTATGCAAGAAGCCAGAGACGGTCGAACACGTGTTTCTTGAGTGCTGGGATGGGGTCTTCTTCTGGGACGTCCTCCAACGTACCCTGCAGAAGAACCTCCCCCTGGATGCGCATGGAATCCGTTATCTATCGGTTAAAAACGAGGAAGGTTTTCCCTTTGACCTGGTTATGCTGTTGGGTCTGCACAGTATTTGGAAGTCCCGAATGGCTGTACACAACGCTGACAATAATGTACGGGAGGCGAGGGAATATTTTCGTGAAAGTGTATCTTTGTTAGTTGAAATTAACAGAGCACAGAAGTGCTAGCCTGAGTGGCTTCCGCGCATTGAGGCACTTTTGTCCATGAAACAATTTTAGCCTCCGACGCCAGTCACTTCGGACTGGTTTAGTTTAGCTTTGCCTTGCTTCCTATGGTTTGAGCGATATACCTGCCGATTTAACAATGTAAAAAATCCGGCAATAAAAGGAGAAAAAGAATCGGTGGCCGAGTGGGCTGAAGCGCACACCCAGCTCGACGCGCGTGGAGCGAAAGCTCGCGCTGCAGAACCCAGGGATCCTGGGTTCGAGCCCCACCCCTGCCCGTTTTGATCTGAATGAGCATCCTACCGGCGTGCGGTCGTGTATCACTACTGCGTGGTGCACTTTAAAGACCCCAGGCTAGAGGTTGTACTGCACTGGCTAAATTGCTCATCTACAGCGTGTGACTCGTCGCAACTTTAATGGCAGACCAACTACACGCTGTATAAATATCCCCACAACCCAATTATTTATTATTATTATGAAGAGTAAAAACACGAGTCTTACACACAGATGCCCTACTATATATCTGTGTTGCATCACTGATAACCACGCCGATGATCACGACACTAGGCTCCTCAGAGCCAGGCCGGTACCGGTAAATTTGAATATCGTGGGCAATTTTGTAATGACGGCGCACAACGCTGCGAAGTCAACATTGCTAGTATAACATATTACGTATTCAGTTGTAGTTTCCTGTGCACATCCAGACAACCTTAATAGTTTTAGGTAAAACTAACATGAGTTAAGAGAGAAGAGAGAGAACAAACATCTTTATTGCATCCAGTCCGATGCTTGCTTTGGTCACCACTCCTCGTCCAGGGTGCTTTTCACGTGCTGGACCAGGAGGGGCCAACGGGTAGGCTCATACTCAGGAGGGGGGTTAATCCAATCCTCCCAGCTCTGGGGGCGATGTGCAGGTGGCAACCTGCTTATGATGGCGTTTCTGGCTGGTATGACGCCTGTGCAAGCCCATAATTGGTGCTCATTGTTCGGGTAGCCTCCACCACTTCTGCATCTGGGCGTACCTGGCGCTCCTGAGATATGGTGCTTGTGGTGTAGCGTAAGGAGCGTGCCGGTTTGTGCTCTACGTATGATGGTGGCATCCTCTCTGTTGAGCATACGCGATGGAGATCTTAGTGATGTGTTATTATGCCTGAGTTCTTTAAGTGCACGGGTGCGCTCCTTGTGTAGGATCTTTCTATGATCGTACGGGTCGTAGTTCTGCGGCCAGGGAGTCGGAGGGCCCCGGGGGGCATGGTCGCGGGCGAGCTCGTGGGCTAGAGCGTTCCCTTCGGTCCCTTGGTGACCTGGTATCCACTCTAGGAAAACGTGGAGTTTGGGGTGTTCGTACATATGCTTGACTAGTACAGCTCTGATGTGAACCGGTAGCGTGTTCTGTCTGAAGTGGCGTATGGCGCTTTGACTATCTGTGCGTATGGTGATGTTGTCGGTACCATTGTGCTGCTGGATGGCTTCTGCGATGGCCTGGATCTCAAGTGATGTTGACGTAGGGGCGTTGGAGTGGTGATGGGCCTTCTTGAATTCTGGGCCAACAACAGCTGTGTTGCCTAGTTTTGTCTCGTTGTTGTAGCTGGCGTCCGTGTAGTAGTATGTGGTGGTAGTGTTATGTGAAAGGTGGAATGTGCGGTGTTCCCGCCGGGCCTTGTTCTCGATGCGGTGCATGCTCTTTGGTATTGGCCTGATCTCTATTCTTGGCACACTGTCCCATGGTGGTTCCAGTGGCGGGATGTCAGGCATGTTGGATATGTCGAAATGAAGACTTCTGAGGATGTTCCTGCCCTGTGTGGATGTTTGGAGGCGCTGGTACTGGGCGGAGTGGTGGAAGCTGATGCGCTCCTCAAGGGTGTTAAAGAGGCCTGTTTCTTGTAATTTCTTGATCGGTGCAAAACGGGGCACCCCAAGGGCAAGTCGTGTTGCCTTGCGCAGTTGTGTTTCTAAATGTTTGTGCTGCGTCCATGTAAGGCGCATGTAGGGCGCCGCATACATCACTCTGGAGGTAATTAGGGCTTCGATGGTTTTCCGGAGTTCGTGCTCGCGGAGGCCTCGCTTTTTGCGAGTGATTCGCCCGAGTATGTGGATGATCTGATTGATCTGTTTGGTGACTAATTTAAGCCAGTGGTCGGCTTTACCGTTTTGGCTCAGATAGAACCCAAGGATCCTGATATGCGGTCTCCGTGGGATACTTGCCCCGTTGAGTTCGAGACGGATGAGGTCCCTAGTCTTCTCGGCATCTTTAGTATTGGAATCTAGGATAACTACGTACTCCGACTTTTCGGGTGAGCAACTGAGTCCAATACTTTGTACATAATCGCGGATAACATTGAGGCCCTGCTGTATGGTTTCTTCTTGTTCTGCCAGTGATCCGCGGCCGACGACACCACAGAGTGATGCCGTCGGCGTAAAGCCCAAAGTGGAGGTCGGAGATAGTGCCGAGTAATGTGGGCAGGTCCTTCAATGCGAGATTGAAAAGGGTTGGGGAGAGTATCGAGCCTTGAGGGACACCGGCGTGCAGGGGAAATTTGGGGCTGGTATAGTCGTCAATCTTGATTTCTATCGTTCTGTCGGTTAAGAAATTTCGAACGTAGTTATAAAGGCGTTTGCCTGGCTTGATGTCAATTAGCTTTTGGAGTACCGCATGGTGCATGACATTGTCGAACGCCTTGTGAATGTCGACGCCGGCGACGACTCTGGTTTGTGCGGTGCTGGATTGAATGAGCACGTCGTGCTGTATTCGGAGCATTGTGTCCTGTGTAGAAACATGCCGCCTGAATCCGGTCATAGAGTGATGAAAGACGTGGTGCTCTTCTAAGTGCCACTCCAAGCGTTGTAGCACCATCTTCTCTGTCAGCTTGCTTAGGCAAGAGGTGAGTGAGATGGGCCTAAGGTTGGTGATGCGGTCTGGTGGCTTGCTTGGTTTGGGGATGGGAATGAGTTAAGAGAAGACCGAAGAAGGGGGCATGACATCACACAGCAGGCATGTTACTGAAAGTAGCTAAGTCTCACCTTCGAGAGTCGAGGGGAAACCGGTGTAGCGAGATGCCAGCTGTGCGGGTGTCGCTTTATCACACTTCCACGGAGCACCGTTTCTTTGCGTATCGCGCTGTGCTCATCATCGCACGTTGAGCCCCTTGGACGCAGTAGTGTCCTAGGTCCAAGCGCACGACTGCCAAGTTCCCACGCAAGTAACTGGGCTAATCGCGCCCGAGCAAACAACAAAACTTCCCAAACGGTGTTTACTGCCGCTAAAACAATTAAAAGCAAAGAGCACGTGGAGGCCCAAACACAAGCAAGCATGCGGACGTCAGCAGCCTGTCTTTCCGCGCGCCACGAGGTCAACAAAGAACTGCAAATATCGCTATTGCTAGCCGGCCTTTTTGTTTTGCTAGTCGCGTACAGAGGACGCTAATAAGAAGTATGCATATTATTAGCAAAAACAAAGACAGTTTTGAATTTTCAGCGTGCCAAATATGATTGATAATATCTAATAATTATATTTTGCTTGTTTAAAAATACAAATTATTATTCTTCTGGTCGCAAACGAATTAATTTTAATAATGTTTGTTCCCACCTCTCCTAGTCGCGCTTCAATCGCATCCTTCACGTTACCCTCCAGGCCGATGTCGCTGGCGATTTGTTTTGAACCGCTTTTTGGCCGAAGCTTCGCTACCCATGTAGCGAAGCTTCGGCCAATCTTGTCGTAGGTGCGGCTTTTTTTTTTTCAAGTACTGCCGGCAGATGGCGCCCACCCGGCTGCGGCAGCCAACAACATTGAGGCACTCTATTCTGTCTGTTTGCGCCTCTCGCTTTATCTCGAACAATCTCGAACCAGACGCAGTGTATCTCTTCGTGTTTGCGAGTACCCCCGGTTTCGCGCTGTCACCCACTTCAAGGGTAACTGCAAAGAAAAAAAAGTTTTTTTTTAAACAGCCTAATTGGGACAAGCATGTCACAAAACAAATGTTCCGCGAAAAAAATGATTTTTTGTTTATCAATATTTACGCCATAGGACGTAATTTAGTAGAGTCAGAACCTCTCCACATTTGAAACTCCCGCTCTTTTGACCCCCGCGGAAGAGGAGTACGCCCCGCCCCTCACTCTCCTTGCGTTGCGGAGTTGAACGACGCAGCGTCTCGACCACAGTGGAATCATAACCAGTGGTCCCACTCAAGGCCACTTCCGGTAATCGCGCATACACAGCGCTCCTCAAGCCGGATGGCGACAACTGAAGTTGTAAAACAAAAACAAACAAAAAAGAGGGTAAAAAAGAATCGCAATTGACTAAATTGAGTGCATTAATGTTAATGTTTTTAGAAAACATAGTAAGCTAGGTAATAATGATAAACCAACATGGAAAGAAAAAATCGAGCAGTTACCGTTAGTCCCGTCAGTGCCGTCAGCTTCAAAAAGTTCATTGCCCTAACCGAAGCCATGTTTTTAAACGTCGGCGGTCGCGTTGTCGGTGTTGCTGTTCTGCAAATTTCTCTTTCCTAGTACATTTCCCTTTCGGTTGAATCCTCGCTTGGCGTTTTAATGTCACGTGAGTTACCGAATCACGCTATGAATGTGTTCTAAATGGGCCTGCTCAGGCAAGAAGCCAAAAAGCCGGGGACTCACTTCGCCGTTCGAGATTCCGGGATTCCGCTTCAAGTTCGTTGCTGGTGAGTGCACACATCTTAATGTGCTCGTGCTGTCCTTCGCGTCAGGCCATGGCACGATCGTTTTTTCTCCAACGCAGTGTATGTGACTCGGTTAATTTCTTAGTCGTATGTACGTCGGACGTGACTTGTAAAACGGTCAAACGTAATGAATTGCTTGTTCACGCGCAACCTCCACGTATCGAAGCTTGCACACCACTTTATTAGAAAAATATAAATATCGTGGCAAATGACGCGGATCAGGACCGAACCTGGGATTCGCTAATCTGTAGAATCATAAAAGAGAAGTTGGCATCATAACATAAAATATAAAAAAAAAACACGCAACATTATAAAAAGTGAATTTACCAGTTGTTATATATTTGCAAACAGGCTAAGCAAGTTGACTGGGCACAATGAACATAATTCTGAATTAAATAGTCAGATGGATTTCCCTTGACGGGAATTGACAGAAGGCACCTCTAAAAAAGTGTTGCTCAAACATGCCAATTTCCTGGACTCACACCTGTATTCTCTCTCTCGTCAGGATACCTTGTGGGTATGGCAGCATCTGGCACCTGTCGTCCAGCATGCATCGAGACCCCTCCTCCCCCCGTCAAGCTCCAGACATTATTTATCTCCGCTTGGCACGTCATGCAGTAAGACCCACAGTACTTATCTAATTTAGAAGTATAAGCAGGACAGATCTAAGGGGGGGCGACAAGGGCAGCCGCCCCCCCCCCCCCCAAACAAAGTCGACCCCCCCCCCTCCCCCCTTCTTGGAGGGCAATTTGACATGGCTGGACCCCCCGGTGCACACGAAAGAAGGGGAGAATAGCATCCTTACAAATTTCCCCCCCCCTCCCCCAAACGGGGTTCTGGATCTGCCCCTGAGTATAAGTTGTGTCTCACTTCGTCCATTCACTGTATGCTGTTACTTTCTTGTTCCAGTACGATGGTTCCTCGAAGAATCACAGAGAATACCACGAGGGCGACAAACGTGTGGAGGCAAGCTGCAAGGGCCGGACACCAGAGACAAGGACCATCAGTAACCAGGGGGATGAAGTGAGAAGACTCAAGAGGCAGCTCATCATCTGGGCCACAAGAAGAAAATCTGAGACCGTTCGCTGGGAAATTTGTCGACCTCATCCTTGGGTGGCATGAACATTTTCTGGTCATATTCGTACGTGAGGTGAACTGTTACTGGAACTAGGTTGACTCATCCTTCTGCAGCTTACAGGGCATTACCAAAGCTACGGCACCGAGACAACCGGAACATTTGGCTGAGGGACGGGACAACATATTGTGGGAGTATACTCCTCCTACGGAGAGCTCTCACAATACTTGCTTCGTTGCTCTGACTAGCTCCAAAGAGCAGCAGTGCTTTTCTTTGTAAAGTTAGGCTGAAACAGATTATAGCTGTAATAGGGCCACCGAAATTGACATTGCGGCATAACATTCCTCATGAGGGTTCTGGCATCTATTCTGTGATCTCTTATGCAATTATGAATGTTGCAGCCACAATTGGTCACTTGACAATAATCTGCAACTCGTCATATGACAAACTGCGTAAATGGTTGGGTAACTGCAGTAAAGGTAGTTCTGCAAATCTGGGAAAAAACAGTGGCTGGGAGGGCTCTAGCTCTTCCTCTTCACGATCTGTCTTAGGGAGGGCTGTTTTGAAAACCCCTTTCAAGTCATTAGTCTGAAAGCGAGTTTCTGGGATACCACTGACGCATAGTAGTTTCTGGCATCTATGAGACACTTGAGAACAAAAACCTTGTGGAGTTGCAAGCTGCGAACCAGGTTGCAAACTGTGAGGATGACTTAGATCAAGTCCTGCTTTGTACGAGTGGTCTCAGCATTTGGCATGCAAGCTGTGGAGCAGTTCTGGTAACTGTAACTTCAAGCTTTTGAATATTGGAACTATTCCCATCAGCACGACAACCACAGCTGGTTGTCGTGCCAGTAGACCTTGTTCTGAAGTCACCGGAAGAAAACAATAGTAATTAGTTGCTGCCATCATGTTGTGTTAGCCAGTGGTCAAGAACAAGATTTATTCTCTTGAGCTTGGACAAAGTGTTCTTCAATTAGTTTTCTCAAAGCCCCTTTGACACACAATGGCACACATAACCTAGCTCAGAGGACACCCTACCTGTTAGTAGTGTTTCCAGTTTGTGC